AACGTTCTGTGATTCTGTGATTCTGTGTGTCCTGGGGATGCCACCTGACTCATCTCCTCCGCCCTGCCCCTAGCATGCGTATGCCAGAAGTTTGTCACCTGGTAATGTCCTTTTGAAGCAAACTAGGTAGGAGTCAGAAAATTATTTTAAAGAAATCAAATTGATGGTATAGGCAACTACAGTCATTACTTTTCTCGTTTTTATCCCTGCCAGCAATCAGTAATTAATTAAAAACTGTACCTCGGTTGTCCCTGAAGAGGGAGGAAGCTTTTTCGGTAGCTGCTGCTGCCCCTCCTCCTCCTCTTCCTCCAGTATGCCTTCGCTGTTGTCACTCTGAGTAGCTTCATCACAGCTAATACTCCTCTGAACTCCTCGTCTGTCATCAAACTCAGCAGCACTGTTCTCACTGGTATCGCTACAAACACTGTTCTCTCTGCTTCGAGACTTCAAAATTGATTTACGAGGGACATATTCTCCATTCACAACATCAACAAAGACTCTATAAAGGAAAATGTTAGCTTTAATAAACCATTTCAGGATTAGATGACAAATTTACAGTGATCTTGCTTTGTCTTTTGTACAAATTAATTATGATGTGCTTTTCTAACTTTTTCACTGCAGAATTATGATACTGTACCTTTAGAGGCATTTTATTTACCCATGTACAAGAATCAGTTCTGCAGAGCAAACATTGTTATGCCCTTTATTCAAGCATTAAGTTGGTACACTTCTTCAATAGAAAATGTATAGTTCTTTGAAAAGTATTAGAAAACAGAATAGCGTGAGTTACAAAAAGTTAGAAAAAAGGTAAACTAAATGATTATCAGTGTTGTTTCTGTCAGAAAACAGAGGGTCACGATGACTCAAGGTTTTCTAGAATGAAGTCCTTGTCAAATGTAGAATATAAAAACAAATACTTGAAACATTCATTGCATATGGAAAGGATGAAGCTTTTTCCTGACAAGTGCCATAATTTTCTGCTTTCAGTTCAAAAAAAAAAATAAAAATCAGCTTTTAAGATTGTATCAACACAAAGACACTTTTCAGGTATTAACAGACTGGAAACCAATAAAGAGGCCGCTTCCTACATTTTGTACTCCATCTCCATGACTTAAAGTCAAGGTGGGGGGGTGGAGGAGAAGGAGAGGCATTGGAAGACAGCACCAATTTTATCAAACTCATAAAGGAGGAGTCCGATGACTGAATAAGTATTAAGGGTGTTACTTAACAGCTTTATTCATCAAGCACTCATGGGGACACTTGCATATCTCTACAGAAGATACACTGTCATTTTCTCTACACTTTCATTTCTAAGTAGTGAATTCAGTTCCAGCTCGCTCTTTCAGGAGATAGCAGGCTCAGTTTCATACTATAGGTGAACAGAAATTAAAAGAGAAGACCTGCTAAGGGGAAAGCTCACGTGCCAACGCTATAAATTACACACCGGTAAATGTCTGCTGGGGTTTTGATGTTAGGCAGTTCTGGAGTTGCATGGCCATTGCCATTGCTGTTCTTCCTTTTACGCTTGGCCTCTTCTTTCTTTTCACTGAATTTCAAAGTAGTATTTTTTCCTGTGTTTATTCTTACCTGAAAATTGAACACAAATGAGGTCTAGACCATAAAATCAACAATCACCAGGCTGCAGATCAACTGATTTCTGACATTCTCCTATCCAAGCAGTTGGGGACTACAAAGCATAGATAAGTTAAACAGATGTATGAACAGTAACATTCATAGTGTGAACTGTTTATTCTTTACCATTTGCATTAGGATGGGGTATTTCTTTGCACTAATGTGCTTATTCAAACTCTGCTCAACAGCTGAGCTGTTCAACAGTTAATTTCAAGTAATTTTAAAAACTTCCAGACAGGATATGACCTTTTACAGCCAGAAGCCAGAACAGCAAGGTATGTATCTGAATATCATTTTTTTTAATACCATATTTGAAACAGTGGGTTTCAAGCATTTGAAAAAAATCCAAATAAACTTCACGTACAGTTAGCATTCTACAGTATCTACATTATCTAAATTTTTCTATATTAGATATGGTATATGTGCTTTATGCAATCTCTTGAAAGATAAAAATAATGAAGTACAAACCCTTTTAGGTTCAACAGTGTGAGAGAAAAAAATAGTTGGAACAGAGCTATCTCCAACATCTGTGTCATCTTCATCATCACTGTGATAATAAGTAGAGCCATTAACTTGGCCACCAAACAAGTCTGAATGTGTTACTTCTTTATGGAAGCTGCCCTGAGTAATACAGTCTTCTGCTCTGTATGTCCCATTCAGATCTGTCCTCTTGTCTTCTTTCTCCTCTTCAGAGGAGGCTGTATCTTCTCCATTTGCCTCAACTGTATCAGGCGTCCTATGAAATGAAAAATGTAAGTGAACTGAGGCAATTTATACTCTTGAGAGACATAGCCATACAAAGTAATGAACAAGCCTGTACATAATTTTCTTTACCCAGGTACTGCATTTTTAGCCAGATTGTGGAACCCTTTTTATACTCTATGACTATGTCCTTTCCATGTCAACTGGAAATGCCAAAACTGACATTTTGGCCAATGACATATGTATTGCTTTAGGATCAGAATAAATCCAAGGATGTTATTAAACACTAAATGTGTAACTCCTACACTGTAAACAATGGATCTTCCTAGCCTGTGGGAAATGGATTTTACTTCCCCCTTTTCTATCATCTCAAACTACTAAATACTGCAATGCTGGACTGCTGTGGTTGCACAGAGGCAGATTTTAGCACCTCTGACCTTGCAGTGCATGCATTGTTCATGTTCCACCCTTCTTCCACCTATTATAATTTTAACTGCTTCAGTCTAGTCAGCTGTTTGGACTTATAGTGAGATCCTTCATGGACAAACAGAATCACACACCTGTAGCTTTCTGAACTACAAACCTGACTGTGCTACAGCAGTACTGTACCTGTCAAGTTCACCAAGTATCTCTTCTTGTCTCTCCAGCTCTTCTAAGCGGGCCCACAGTTCATCCTCTGACTGAAAACGGCCCATTGATTTTGTATCATTTCCGTTTGCTGCAAAATCTACCTCAAAAACATTTGATACTTTTGGCTTGGAATGAGGTTTGTGAGCAGTTCGGTATTTTCCTGTGTAACAAAAAATAAGATGCAATTACTAAAGCAATTGAAAAAAAAACCAACAAAAAACAATGGGGAAAAAAAACCACACAGGAATTAAGGAATATGGGCAGAACATTTTCCATTTCAAATTATTGTTTAACTGTTTAAGTGAAACTGCCAATGAACCAGAGCACCAGCACAGGATAATAGTCTCCGGATGTTACAGAAATACTGAGGCAAAGCAGAGATGTTTATTTACAAAGCAGGAGATACTGAGCCTGTGACAGTTTTATTACAGTGTGGGGTTTTTTACCTCTTGCTCCAAACAGCAGACTTTGATTTGTTCTGACAGACACCAACATGTGAATGTGACATTTGCTCATCATCCCATTAATAGCACATTTTATTAACTGGGAAAGCAAACCTAGTTTGTACTTTAGCTCATTTTGAACAAAGTCACCTATATTTAAAGAGCAGAGTCTTTTTGTTTTGGGTTGTATTTTTTTACAGTTACAATGAAGATCATTCAAAATGAGCTCCAGAGTCATCTGGAAAATCTGACCAAAATCCAGTCATTATGAATCACTTATTTTGATGAAAAAGACACACTCTGAAAAGCATACAAAAACCTACCTTCCAAAAATAATAAATATATTTAAAGCTTCAGAGGTGACCTGAGATATACACTTATGAGTAAACAGTAGTCACCGACAAGTTCTTGCTGGCATTTAAAAGCTTTGCTACACAGTAAAATAGTGCATTCACTGAGGATGGGGAATACTTTTTTACTCTTTGAGTGCTGTCTAGCACATAGGAAACAAAACTAATGCTTTAGCCCTGTCTGTGTGAAGGGCAGGACTGCTGCTTTAATCCCCCTTCTCCTCGAGACTAGAGCTCCTGGGGGCACCGCCTGTTTCCGCATGGTCCTAGACAAGTTCCCAAGGGAAGTTCCCTGCTCTCTGCCCATCAGCACGCCCACACAGCACCTGCACCTCTTTACAGGAGTGAGGACCCCTCCCCTTCCATCACTGCCACAAATACTCCCAACATTTTGTCTGTACAGTGGGACTCCAGTATCTCTACAGGTCTTCGTGAAACTCTGCTTTGCACATCGAATCAACAGTAATATAATGCCTTTGTTATTCAGCATCCCTCAAGCTTTAAAATCACTATTAACCAATTGTGTGGCCATTTAAAAAAAAAGATTAAGAACTCATGGCTTAAAGATATCCCTATTCAAATATGTCATCTTATACTTTAATCCCGAGTTAAATACAAATTCAATAGCAACATTAAAAAGCAAACAGGTGACTGTAAGTGATGCTGGAATGTGCGTCCCCTACTCTTCCACAGGATAGCATTTTTCATCATCTCATTAAGAAAAGGCTGAAATGTATTTTACTGAGATTTGAATATAAATTGAGGTAAGCCAAGCAATCAGAGTAGCTTGCAAGAATTTCATTTCGTATAATTACAAAATTAATAAATAAAATTTGGAAGGATTAGTTAACAATCTATTTCAATTTGATTTACAGATTGTGCCCTCATGATTTCTTTCTGTTACCCTTCCGTCTTAACCACTGACTTGACTACCAAGGTAGCACATGGCTTCCTGACCAGCACTTCAACATTAGGAGGTTTTTCCTCCTAATTCTAACAAAACTTCTGTCAGTTAGGAAACCAGGTCAGATCTCAAAGGCAACACAGGATAACCACTTGCTGCTCCAATATCCACTGTGCTCACTCACTGTTACTACAAAGCACCACCACTCACTTCATACACTAACCAAAAAAAGTGAAGTATTAAAATCCGGAAAAAAGGAGAGTCAGCAATAAATTAATGAGATCCTCAGGATACTTGTTTTTGTCTTTCTCAGAGATACAGCCCACTTCCATGTGAACA